AAAAAAAAAGTAACAATAATACTTTAAAACACAATAACTTTATAAAATGTAAATTTTTAGAAAAGCAAATACTGTATAAGAGTTTAGAACATTTATTTTGTAAAATAAACATAATTTCTGAAAGTAAACGCGTTAACAGCATTTAAATATTCAGTGTTAATAGAAATTTCATGTATTTATTTTTCTTGAAGCAATGACGAAGTAAATTGCAAATCTGTTATTTACACAGCATATTTTGTTTAATGATATTTGGTTAGCCAAATTATTAAACCAAAATATGAGACTGAGAAATTTATAAAGAATGTAATATTTATTAAAGTGTAACGCGATATATTGAAATATTTATCGTTACTGAAACTTATTAATTAATCTACAACCTTTATGAACAGCATAATTCAAGATCGAAGTGATTTACTATCTTATTAATTAGAAACATCAATAAACACGATAATAAATGAAAAATTAGAAGTGTGTAAGATTACTAAAATATATCATTAGTTTACTTCTAACAAAACCACTAAAACCACTAATACCTTTGTACACAAACTAGTAAATCAGGCAATTTTTTACTTATTTTTTTTTAATTTAAAAGCTGAATTTTCACTTAACAAGAAACAAACTTAATTCAGAAATAAATTTATAAAATTAGATTTTTTTATACATTATCTTTTGTATTAAAATTCAAATCAAATATTTTGAAAAATTCACTTTTATTTATCTTATTTAACATACCTGAGAATTCAATAGAAATAGAAAGAGCAACAAAAAAGAAAGGAATTAAATTCCAAACATATTTTGAGTTCCTTCACCCAAAATTTCGTTAAATTTTAATTTAGTTAACATTATTAACATAATTTAAATAAAATGGAAAATTTATAAATTATATTAATTTAGTGGTTTAATTAGGAAATTTAGAAAGTGTAAAAAAAATAAATAAAGCTTTAGTAATACTGTATAACAATACTAATGATTTGTTAGTTGAATGTTGGTTTACGCTTCTTATATATAAAAATTCTATAATTTTTTATTAAATATTTATAAGTTTATCCATCTCTTTCACTAGAAAATTTCTACTATACTTGTTTAAATAATCTCTAAAAAACATTTAAATTTATATTTGAAAGGTAAATTTCAAGTAGTGGAGCATTCAACAATACTGATTAATAAGATTATTCATGTTTTTATTGTCTACTCAATTTGCAGGAACATTAAATATCGAATTATAAAATATAATAATAAATTATGTTTTTATATTAAAACATAGTGAAGAATCGCCATTAAGATGTAATAAGACGTGTTTTGCAATCATAAGCATATTTTCAGAAAATGATAATTACCTAAAAATGAGGGATAAATATCAAAATTTTATAATTTTATAGCTGGAACAGGTTTAAGTTGAAAATTTAGCTTTAAAATGTCTATAATAATTATACTAGAAAGGGTTTTAAATATAAAATTGAGTACATTTATATAATTTTATTACATTTCAGCATTCTGAATACTGTCAGTAATATGATCCCATCTTCATTAAAAATGAATGAAACTTATTATTTTTATTAAAAATTTAAATTACTAAAGTAATGTCATTTTTCTAAGAGCGAAATCTTGACCTCGGTATAGTAAATTTTCCATTTATTTTTCTTCAGACGGTCATTTGTAGATATTGTAATACTAAATGTCCTTTTTTGGAACGGAAATTCATTTTACTCCTTCGAAATTTCGTCTCTTCTGTTCCTTATATTATACTTATTAAAAAAGGGAAGAAATTTCAAACAGGAAGTATTAAAAAATTTACATCGTTTAGCTATAAACCTTAATGATGCGTTATAACGAGGTGCTTAACAAGGAAACTAGCATAAAAAAAGGTTACGTTCTCATATGACAAACTTTTGCCTCTTATCCAGAACAATAACAAGTAAATCTTAGAAACTGTTACGCATCAACCAGACAGAAAACCCTTTATACCAAATATCTTCCTCCTATTGTTTCTTCTTTAACCGACATTACAAATCGATAATTCAGTTTAGTTATACTGCTATAAGGTAGCAGTAATAAAAGGCGATTTATATAAAATACGATGCAAAAACTCGAAATAAAAGGACATCATTTTTATTACAAGACAAAAAATATAGCAGTAACTTTCTAAAACAAAATTTCGAGTGCGGCTGCTATATATAAGCTCAATGTAAGGCAATAACTCGTTAAATCAGTCTGCCACTTAACTTTCCTTTTCATAAGATGGGGAAAAAAAACGTAAGATTTTCATAAGTTTTTTGGGTAGCCAACCATTTTATCTGGAAGAGAAGATAATATGACGTAACTTATGTCACTGTAACCGGGTGTAACAGCAACTGCTGCAATTTACGATGTCCGATGGTCCCAACAGTTATTATTTACCTCCTCCTCTTACCGAACGCCACTCTAATTACATCCCTCTTTATTATTCGAATATATCAAGCTTATGTGTCTAATATCTGAGTAAAACAAGAAAACATTATGGTTTTAAGAGAACACAATCTGTCACGTGATCTAACCAATATATTATATATTGAAAGTGTTTTAAACTGAAGTAATTAAGTATGATATAGGGCACATTCATTGAGTAAAATTTCTATTCTCAAATAAATTACAATAATTTTTAAACAATTATCTTTTAAAATTCTAGCTATTGTATATAACAATAAAGAAACGATCAATTTTAATATTTTTTTTTATTAATAAATATCTAAATATTTATTCTCTCTCCCTTATTTATTCTTATGTTTCTAATTGAGTTTAATTTAGTTACAAAAAGTTTTCAAAAAATGATTATGTTTATTTCGAACCCAATTAAATTATAAGCATAATTACATAAACTAGAAGTTACTGATAATTTTTATAGCTTTAATTATCGCCGAATTTTAGATCTGTTTATCAAATTTTTATAAAGTTTGGGTAAACATTATATGAGAGACAAATGGGTACTTTCTAACATATCAGATGTTTTAAAAGTAAACAAAGTGTCTTACAGTTTTGATAATTCTAGGATAAAATGTTATAAGATGTAGAGATTAAAAACTATTTTTTACATATTTTGTTATATTATTCATTTTATGTCTATTTTAAAGCAATCTTCCAGAATTTGTGCTTTAATTTTACGCATAAAAGTATAAATTATAGTTCTCGAGGGCACACTAACGTATATAATCTAAAGAATCTCATTATAAAGTTGCTTTTCTTGCACTTACCTGCTTTCCTATTGCCGTCTGTAAATAATAATAATATTATGTTAAATTTAAAAAAAAAAAAAGAAAACATCATTTATTTTAAAGATCATAAATATAGGATACTTTCTTTACAATATAGTTTTGAAATCATTTAAAATTTATGTACAGTAAGTTGTTTTGTCGTAAAGCTAAATAAATGTACCTTTAGACATAGGTGACAACATCAAAAGATTTACACAAGCCGCACCGTGTCCATGACCAAATACAGTAACATTGTGTGGATCCCCACCAAATTCTGCTACATTTTCTTGAATCCAATGTAGAGCTGCTATCTGATCCATAAGACCATAGTTACCTCTTGTTGTTCCATCTTTAACAGGAAGAAAACCTGAAAATAAAAAAATAACCATTTTATCCTGTCTTCGAAGATAGTATTTCGAACTTTATTTTGAAATTTAAATATAAACACTGTAAAAAAATTATCATATTTATTCAACATCTATATTACTATTTGTATTTATTTCAGTTTTTTTTTTTCTGTTTTTACATCGACTTCTGAGCTTTAATGTTCTATTAATGAAAGAATAAAATTAACAAACAGTAAAAAATAAATGTAAATTTAGTAAAAAAAATATTAAACTGATAAACTAATTTGTATTGAGAATTAAAAAAAAAACTGAAAANCTTCCTTAATCTCGAGAATGGAGTTAGATAGATGAAAGTCGAGACCAGATATGGAAAGATTAGAGAAGAGGCTCCGATTAACTTTATATGAACTTCCGATGCAAGCTGGAAGTCACTTTTTTCCCGAAAGGAGTTAGTTAGATGCCCTACACGACTCCTATGCTAGCAGGAAAATATGATATACAGGGTCAAGACAGTACTAATTTGAAGTGAAGAGTATATATTTTAAATTAAATAAACTTAAAATATGATTAAAAATTACAGCCCGGCATTGTGACGATGTCACAATAAATAATTGCTCGTTAATTGTAAAATGAAAAGTATTATGTTAAATTAATTAAAGTGTTAAAAGGTAGACAATATTCATGTGAAAGTTTTGGAAAAAAATTATAAAATTTTCCGAATATTCAACAGAAACTTATTACTATAATAACAATCATTTTCAAAAATCTCTAGAGAAATATTGTGATTATTTGAAAAGCAAATAACAACCGATCAGTTGAGTAGATAATAAACGATTTAATATAGATAAATAAATTAATAATAATTAAACAAACATTTTATCCTTCAATAAACTTATTGTATGGTACGTAAATTGATCTCAATATATTATACATCTATTCCATTATCTGACAGATATAAAAAGTAAATTTAATATTGTCAATATTATCGCTTGAAGAAATGGTATTTGAACTGATTTAACGAATAAATTTCCTTTATTATGACTTCTACATAATTTGAGTATAACAAAGAATTACACAAATAACGGAACATTAGAAATTATATTCAATATAAAAATGAAAGAATGACTTTGGATCGAGAAGATTGCGTTGTATTACGAGAAATGTTTCTTTAAATGAAGAAAGGCATGTGGATATAAGTACAGAGTTATTATTGATGGTATTGCTGTAAGAATCTATAACATATATCATATTATCTACTGGAATGCTATTTATTAGATTTGGAAGATATTTATCCTGAAATAATTGTTATATACGAAATATGCGTAAAGAATTACAGAACATCAAACTTGATTAAGGAAATTAACTGAAAAAGAGCATATTGGCAGAGAGAAAGAGTCAAGGAAGATATATAACAATTTCAAATCCGGAGTCGTGGATAGATCTTCAGATAGAATTAGACAGATCCCAATGTAGACTTTGTGGTTTACGACAGCNTAATCTTCACTTTTTGTTACATCAATTTTGAATGTTCTGTTATAAAATATATTTATACTGTAGTATTTTTTTTCAAATTAAAAATAGAGAAGCCAAGCAAAGAAGCTGTAACACAATGGTTTTCAACAGGGATGTGGCAACGGCATTTCAGAGGTGCTGTGAAATGTAGTGCATGAGCAGAGATATAATACTGTATTACTGTGTTACTAAACTATGAAAAGTATAACGACTCTGCATTGAAAAAATTAGGAATACAACAATAAAAAATTTGCAACGTTGGGATGCCAGTATTAGAAAAAAATTGAAAACACTAACAAAATAAAAATGTCATATGACGTTGTAACGCTTTTATAATTTGTATTTTTATAATCTCTAATTTTTTGTAAAAGTTTCGAAAATTTCAAATAGATTAGATGTTTAAACTGTTATAATTTTCTAATATATGTTCTATCTGTATATATTGTATTCTACTTCGTAAGAACACGAAACTATTGTCTTTTGCATATGCAGACTAATGAACATTGGCTCCATTTTTATTGTGGAAAAGACTATTTCTTCTTTTAACAAATATTTACATTTCTTGAAATTTTTTAACACTTTATATACAAGTCAAATACATTTAAAAAATCCTACATTGAATCTATGTGTAATGTTAATATTAATAATTTTCTGTAATCAAATAGGCCTACCAGTTGCTGAAAGGATAAAACCACTGAACACTGGTAGTTTGTTGCGGGTTGGCGCCTCACCAACGGGATGGCTACGTGAAGTTTCCCGGGTTTTCTTCACGTGTCTAACACCTAAATAGGAGCTAGTTTTCCATAGAAAACCCTCCCGGGAGGCATCCTCCTTGATAGATTGCCCATGTGTTGCGTTGCCTTATTCAATCAATCCTACAAATCTCTAAACAAATAGACCTACAACTCAATTTACGCCTTTATTAGAAAATGTAAATATATACTAATATTTATAAATTTTTAAAAATTATTATTTATATTATATTTTATAAAAATATAAAAT